GAAAACTGCTGCTGCCACCCCTCAGCAGAACTGCCTTGCATTCTAGCTCGGTCACATGCCTTTCTCAAAATGGGGATAACCAGGACTGGCATTTTCTGCTCTTAGGATGGGGAAGAAAGATACCTTTAGGACTCAGAGTGAAGGATACCCTAATTATAGAAAGTGACCACCCTTTCATGAATGTCCACTAAAAATCTACCCAGAAACTGGCACTTTCTATTGGTGAAGTGACTTTGTTTTGGAGATTTTCTTCTGACTTTTTTGTTGTTTATGTTTAACATACTTTGGCTCCAAAAATGAGTGCTCTTTCCTCTTGATCTTTGTAGAGGTAACATTCTTTGACCATCAAGCCCTGTTGTGGTCCCCAGTAACCCACCTTCCTTTTTTGTGTGTGTTGGTGGTGGGACCCGTGGCTTGTTGCAAAGCTAAGCAGTGCTCTACCACTGAGCTACACCCCAACCCACTGCCCCTCTTTTTTTACTTGTGTTTTGTTGTTTTATACATATATATATATATATATTCACAAAAGATATATATGCACATAGATGTGTATGGGAAGCATTAGATAAAATACTAAATATGTGCTAATTCATCCAACCTCTTTGGCTAGAACCAAAGCGAACATGAACTGGGGATTGAACTCAGGCCCTTGCACTTGCCAGGGAAGCGCTTATTCCACTGAGCCATCTCCCTGGCCCCCACAGAGCCTTTTAAGGTTGTCAGGTGGCTGGTTTTACCTCCAGGTTCCTTGGGCTGGAACAAAACATCACAAGACTGGCGCTTCTTTCTTTGCTATGTAAATCTTTGATAACACACTTCATGCACATGCCATGATATGAATCTTGAAATACTGCTTTTGCAACTTATGTTTTAAATCTTATTTACTTGTTTATTTTTCGTGTTGGGGATTGAACCCAGGGCCTTTGCCCTGAGCAACATCCCTCCCTCCCTCCATTTTATTTTATTTTTTATTTTTTATTTTTTGCGGAGCCAGGGATTGAACTCAGGCCATTGTGTTTGCCAGGCAAACACTTACTCAACCGAGCCATCTCCCCAGCCCCCCCCCCTTTTATTTATTTTGAGGCAGAATCTCAAGTTGCCCAGGTTGGGCTTGAACATGTAATTCACCTACATCAGCCTCCTAGAGTGCTGGAATTAGAGGCATGTGCTAGTGCAGCCAGTCACAATTTAAATTCTTTAAATGTCAGGTTTGTGACAGTATAATTTACACATAAAACTCACCTTTCTTTGGTAAACAATTCTGAGTTTTGATGAATGCATTGGTCAATGAGCACAACTGGAATATTTAGCATTTTCTTCACCTCAAAAGTTTATGAGGGGCCGGGGGGATGGCTCAGTGGAATAAGCGCTTCCCTGGCAAGTGCAAGGGCCTGAGTTCAATCCCCGGTTCAAAAAAAAAGTTTATGGCACCCTTTATGATCAATTCCAACCCCCTAAATATTTCAAACCATCGATTTATTTTCTTAAACTTTTTTTTTCCCCCTTTGGGACCTGGGATTGAACTCAGACCCTTGCGCTTGCCAGGCAAGCACTTATTCTACTGAGCCATCTCCCCAGCACCTGTTTTCTTAAATTTTGCCCTTTCCAGA